CTTTGTTGAATTTCGAGCGAGTTTTGAGCCTTCATGGGAGAATTCAGCCTGGGACCATCAAGAAAAATTTTTCCTATAGTGAAAATAAAAAGTTGGAGTTGGGCAGAAAATTCCGGTCAAAAAGCAAAATAAAAAAATCGTGAGCGGATTCGAACCCTCGTCAGTATCCTATCAAGTGAGTCGCTTACCACTCGGCCATTCAACTGGTGGTTCCATAGTGATGGGAGGGCCTCATAAACCTATCGCTAATGCTAATTTTTCGGATGTAAATCATCATTCTTCCGGAAGTGCTGTATCTCGGTCCAGAGGCCCATTTAGGAAATTCTGATTAGAGCGTTGGAATCACCATAGTCGAAAACCTAGGGGTAGCCGCGAGCGTTTTTCAAAACTCCACCGTGCCAACTTGAGGTTCCCTAGTAAGCAAAGCCTAAGCCTAAGCCTAATCGAAGCCTAAGCCCAAGCCAAGCCAAGGCTAAGTCTAAGCCGAGGCAAGCCGAGGCAAGCCGAGGCAAGCCAAGCCTAAGCCAAGACTAAGCCAAGCCTAGGCCCAGCCTAAGTCAAGTCTACGCCTAAGCCTACGCCTAAGCGGAAACCCAAGCCAAGACTAAGCCTGCCAAACGTTAGCCTAAGCTTACGCCTAAGCCTGATCCTAAGCCTAAGCCAAGCCATGCCAAGCCAAGCCAAGCCAAGCCTAAGCCACAGCCTACGCCTCGATTCCAGCAACTTACTGGCTGAGCAACGGACCCTCCTATCGACGCAAATCAGTGGCTCAAAGCTAGAAGTTAAAAATGGATCCTAGGAAAAAAGAGAGGGGTTTTCTTAGCCTCCTCCCACCGCTAATAGTCCAGTACCAAAATGTACCACTTTTTTCCGAACAAAACCTACTCCCAAAGTCTCTATCAAGCCACCGAAGTGCGACTGACCGTATAGGGTTGACCCCGGCCGGCCATACTCACTACATGGCCTTGCAGGCGCGAAATGGAGCGTGTGAAAAAGGGGATAGGTATCGGCTACATTGTCTTCCTTTGCCCACCCATCTCCCCTCTCCCTCGCGGCTCGATGCTGTTTTTCCAGATGAATGCCCCCGATCCGGGATACAACTCCGACCGATTGCTTGCCTCGGGTCGGTGCAAAAGAAAACAAAACTCGCTGGGGGGACTACCTGGGGAAAACCAAATTTTCTGGTAATCCTGTATGACCCTATCACGAATTCCAAACGTTTTATAGATTTTATACAGTTTTTAGATGTAAAAAAAAAAAACTAAAAAAAGCTAGAAAATTTCGACAATTTTTTATTTTTGAGCCGAAAATGTATGAAAAATGACCAGAAAGGCCAAATTTCGACTACAACGAATTTTTAAAAATGTTTTTATAAAGTTTTATAACTACTAAAAACACTATAGATAATGAAGAGCCCAAAAAATCCCACCCCCCGCTAACCGCACAGTAGCCGATATCGTTGGTCGTGAGGTTTCCTTAATAAATTCTTAGCCTTCAATAAAACCCGTCCAAAATTACCAGGTAATAGTTGCTTAACGGGGGGGGGACAACGCATAGATAAGCAAATGTTGTCTTATTCAACGATACCATAGAATAGAGCCGAAAATTTTGCTAAGCTGTTTCATTTTAGCCAGGAAAAACGGAATCGGCAATAATTTTTGTAGGTAATAATATTTTGTAAGCGTTTTCGACATTTTTAGGCATTTTTAAATAGTTCCTGAAAACACCAAAGTCAACGCTCCTTTTGGCTCTATCCCAGTAACGTGGACCATGTAAGGAATCGTGGACCATAAATAAAATCGTGGACCATAACCGGAATCGTGGACTTTAAAAAAAATCGGGGACCTTAAAAAAAATCGTGGACCGGTAGTCAGAATCGTGGACCCTTGGTGAAAATCGGGGACCATAGATTTGGCCGTGGGGGCAAAATTTGGCGGCGTTCAAAATCGTGGACCATAGAATTCCGTCCTGAGCTGAGTTATGGTCCACGATTCTGAACATCCGAAAAAAGGCTAGATTGTTCGGAAAAACTGTGTTTAGCTTCCACAGAGCGGCCATGTTTGTTTTTCACACCATTTTTTGCGGCATTTCACATTGTAGCAATGGGCTTATCACTAGTTGGGGGTTCGACCATAGATTTAGCATAGGAATTACCTACATAATGTCGATTTTACAGAATGCCGATTTTCAGAATGCCGATTTTCAGAATGCCGATTTTACACAATGCCGATCCTTAGAATGTCGATTCTTATAATGCCGATTCTTATAATGCCGATTTTGCGTCTGTTTGCAGGGCGCAAACGTTTGTCCTCCCGTTGAATCCTAGGGTCTGGTATTCAATTTTTTGCGAAAAACCTATGCTTTGGATATTGACGCACCCCCGATACTTTTGAAATAGCGAAACCCGGATTTTGCTAGGAAATTACACTGAATCAAGAACCTCGAAGCCGTCGTTAAAAATTCAGTCTTCGTTACCTGCCAGGGGAGATTATTTTTAGGGGAATTTTGTAAGATTTTTGTTTTGGAAATTAGATTAGAAACTTCGTTAGAACCCCCCGGAATCGATTACGAAAAACTAGGATTCGTCGAAAGAAAAATGCAATGAAAAATGACTCGGCAAAAGGACGCAAAATCGGCATTCTGAAAATCGGCATTCTGTAAAATCGACATTATGTAGGTAATTCCTATGCTAAATCTATGGTCGAACCCCCAACTAGTGATAAGCCCATTGCTACAATGTGAAATGCCGCAAAAAATGGTGTGAAAAACAAACATGGCCGCTCTGTGGAAGCTAAACACAGTTTTTCCGAACAATCTAGCCTTTTTTCGGATGTTCAGGGGTGGTACCAAAGTAGATTTAACCACCCTGATTTAACTACCCTGGTTAAAATTTAACCACCCATGGTTAAATTTTAACCATCCATGGTTAAATTGTAACTACCCATGGTTAAAATTTAACCACCTACCGCGAAAAAATTTAACCACCCATCCAAAATCAATTTATCTCATTTATCGATAGAAATTCTTTGGAAGAAAGCAACGTGAACCCAATTTATCGCTTTCTAAACGATCCGTGAGCCTATGTAGAAAGCGACTGCCTTTCCAGGGCCCTCCGGAATTAAAAGGGACTCCTCAGTGTATTCGGTCTGTTGGGTGCGTTCCGAAAATGTAGACCATTTTTATAATGTATTTAGTAGATTTTGGTTGCCAGGAAGTTATAGATAAAAAAACATTTTAGATATTTTGAAAACCTTGAACATTTTGAGCTTTTTTGGCCATTTTTCATACAACTTTGACCAACGAGTCCAAATTCTCTCGAACAATGTTATAAGTTTTTCGGATTTTTATATCTAAAAAGAGTATAAAATCCTATAAAAAATGGCCTATATTTCGTTATAGAGCGTCCCAAATCAATGCGCGAACCGCCGGCGAAACGGAGAGATTTTTCGAAAAAATTTATGATTTCCTAATTTCGAATAGGATAAGTTACACTATACGAAAGGACTAGGTAGACTTGGCCAAAAAGCCTGCTGAGCTAGGGCCCTTAGGAAAACGGATTACTTGTTGTGAGCGATCGGTGTCCAATTAATGCCAATTCTCGTGGTAACAAAGTATCCAAAAGATGCGGATTTGTCGAAACGATGATTGGAGAGTGATGTCCAAAGAGAGAATATCAAAAAAGGGGAGGCGGAGTGCTTCCATTTTAATCTTTGATGAAATTTTTTGTCATCGGAAGCCGGGAGGTGGCTAACTTTATCCTAAAAAAATTTAACTAGGGTGGTTATATGTTTCGTGAAAACGTTTTCACGAAATATTTAACCGTGGTGGTTAAATTTTTGAGGCGACCTTTTATGCCCATAAACCACCATCTACGGCCCTAATATCTTTAACACATGTTAGAATATCGTCTAAAGAAACCATATTCATCTTATTGGCGAGTTTGGATTTTCGAGGAATTTTTAACATGGTTTATAAAAAAGTATTACTTTTTGGGTGGTTAACTTTTTTGGTTTTGGCCCTCGATGGTTAATGTTTAACCACCTATGGTTAAAATTAAACCATGGGTGGTTAATACTTAACCATGGATGGTTAAAATTTAACTATCGGTGGTTATGATTTAACCATCGTGGTTAAATTTCCAAGCTCCTTTCTAGCCCCTTTCCAAGTATTGCACCAAGAAAAGGTTAGCGGCGTTCGATCAAGCGTTTTAAGAAACCTATCCGTGAATTTTGCGATCTTTCTAGACCTCTTAATTGTCGTAGAAACCATCCTCCAAAAGTTAGCTTTTTACCATTGATTTTGGGCGGTTATAATTTAACCATCGGTGGTAAAATTTTAACTATGGGTGGTTAAAATTTAACCACGGTGGTTTTGGAGCTTTGGTACCACCCCAGAATCGTGGACCATAACTCAGCTCAGGACGGAATTCTATGGTCCACGATTTTGAACGCCGCCAAATTTTGCCCCCACGGCCAAATCTATGGTCCCCGATTTTCACCAAGGGTCCACGATTCTGACTACCGGTCCACGATTTTTTTTAAGGTCCCCGATTTTTTTTAAAGTCCACGATTCCGGTTATGGTCCACGATTTTATTTATGGTCCACGATTCCTTACATGGTCCACGTTACTGGGATAGAGCCCTCCTTTTTTCACTAAAAAGCTTTTCCACCGTCTTAGAAAAGCTTTCAGCCGACACTGCCTTGAATGAAAAATTTATTTTGAAAGCGAAATGGTCAACATCTTCCCCCTTCAATCAGCAGACCCAGGAAAATCGCCTGACAAGCCATTTCTATCACCCGGTCAGCCCCGTAATCCTATTTTGCAACACAACCACCGTTACAGAACCCAACCAATGCTACCCATTCGCCGCGGACTGCATGGGATCGCCCGTCGCGGGCGGGCTGAACGGGTTGCCGGCTTCTTCTTGCGTGCTCTCTACTATGTGCTGATCTTCGTGTTCACCTTCGGCGCCGTGCTCATCTTCTCGAGTTGCTATCAGATGTACCGGGTAGGGCTTTCTTAAAAGAAGCGGATAAGAATTAATTTCGCTAAACTATAGATAAGCCCCCCGGTACTGGAAGGGAGGTGTACTAGTATACTTGGGAGGGGCCAACAAATTTTTTCGTCGCCAAAAAATTCTTAACCTTTTCGACATTTTTTAAAGAAAAATTGCCGATTTTCAGAATATTTTCCTCAGTTCATAGCAATCATAAACTACTAAAATCACTATAAATATAGTATATCTTGTCGACGAGGCGGAAAAACAAAAAATTAGTTTCCCCGTGTTAAATTTCCCCGCTAACAGTTTAGTACCAGCTTCCATTTCCCCTCTGGCGCAGCCGCCCGTTTGTCTAGACGGGTGTAAAGTATACCAAAATGCTCGCCAGACCAAGACGAGCATTTTGGTATACTTTACACCCTGGTAAAAATACGACGAGCCAGGATACAAAAGTTTAGGCTCGGCTGGGGAGGGGTAACTGCACTTACTATGTATAACCGTACAATCTATTCCAGTCAATCCCGCAGCAGATCGTACGCAAAGGCGGCCACATTTGCGCCGACGTCGATGCTCAACTTCTTGACCCATTCATGAGGTAGAGAATGATACCCTCAAACACAATTTCATATAATGGATTTAGGAAGGACGGGCTCCACTGCTTCGACGAGAAGAAGTGCAAGCTGATCGACATGATTCGCTGGGATGAGTGTTGGTTGAGCATCACCCTAGCAAGCGCAAACGTTTAGTTGCTATTTGCTACCCATGCTGGGCGCAGCTTATCGTCATGATCACCTGCGGTGTCGCCGGCATGATGGTCACGTGAGTTTGCTAGATTTTGCTGAAAGCGCACGAACGGCGAACACTTTCCGGGGAACAGATTGCGGGACAGTACGGGCCGCCCAAAATTCATTTTAAGATTTTTTTATATAGATTTAAATAGATTTTTAAGGTTATTCCTTGGGTTATACTGCAGATCACCCCCAGCCGGGGGTTATGTATCTCGACTCCCTGTGCGTCCACCGGGGTGTAAAGCGTACTAAAATGTTCGCCTTGCTTTGGCGAGTATTTTGGTATACTTCACACCCCGGTAACACAGCGAGGAACCGAGATATAATAGAAGTTCGGCTGAGTGGCGGGTATTTGAAGTTTCGCGATTCCTTGCTTAGGAGGCCACGCATAGCCCATTTGTATCGAAAAATTAAAGCTAATATTAAAACAAAGACTTTAAAACCTAAAGTGTCGCGACGAGAAAATATCCTACCGGCGATTCCAGCTTTTTATGAAAAAACCACTGCTTTTTAGATCGGTATGGATGCCAACTTTGGTGGCTGCATCCATCCTCCATGTGCTCCACCGTCCCCTCCGGCAGCTCGAGGCATGTGGCAATGAGATGGATGTGCAGCGTCTGATCCATGCCGACCTGCGATTCGAGAAAATCGCCGCCGCCACGCAGCAAGCCAAGCCCGCGCCGCCGCCAAGTCCATAATTTTGTTTAAAAAAAGGCATCCTCCATATGTCATATATTGTCATATAAACATAAATAAATGATTTCTTCAAAAAAAAAAAGCATGAGTACACATGAATAAACTAATTTTAATTTTCTCTTGACAAA